TTATACCTCGAAGCTACTGTGGTAAAAACAGCATGGTACTGGAAAAATTAAAAAAAAAGCAGACCCAGGGATCAATGGAACGGATTAGAAGATGCAGAAGTAACTCCAGACACAATCAGCCACCTGATCTCTGATAAACGTGCCAAACACACACACTCACTGAAGAAACCCTTTTTAATAAATGGTGCTGGAAAAACTGGCTCTGCACATGCCAAAAACTAAATTAGACCTGTATATTTCACCATGTACTACACTAAAATCAAAATGAATCAAAGATCTAAGTATTAAAACAGAAACATTAAATCTGTTGGAAAGAAACTAGGTGAAACTCTTGAAGACATGGGTGTAGGCAAAGATTTTATGAACAAAATCCCAATCACACAGGAACTATCCCAAAGAAAAAAGAAAAAAAAAAAAAAAAAAAAGAAATCAACAGCTGGGATCTCATCTTATTAAAAAGCTTTTGCACAGCAAGAGAAACCACCACAGATTGAAGAGACAGCACACAGTGTGGGAAAAAATTTTGCCAGCTCTTCCTCAGACAAAGGAGTACTATCTAGAATATATAAAAAACTCAGAAAAATCAGACCTCCCAAGTTTAAAGACCCAATCCAAAAATAGGCATCTGAGATAAATACACACTTCTCAGATGAAGAAGTACAAAAAGCAAATAACTATATGAAAAAATGTTCAACATCACTGGTCGTTCAAGAGATGCGAATTGAAACAACACTGAGAGTCCACCTCACCCCAGAAAGAATAGCCCTTCTCAAGAATTCAACCAATAAAAAATGCTGGTGAGGCTGCTGGTAGGACAGTAGACTGGTGTAACCACTGTGGTAATCAGTGTGGACAATCCTCAAAAAACTAGAACTACCGGTTCCAATGGACCCAGCCATTCCTCTTCTTGGTGTCTTCTGGAAAGAATTAAAAGCATCATACCAGAGTGGTATGTGCACACCCATGTTTATAGCAGCACAGTTCGTAATAGCCAAATCTTGGAAACAGCCCAAATGCCCATCAATTGACAAATGAATAAAAAAGATGTGGTGGGAGTTTTTTGTTGTTGTTCAATGGAGTAGTACTCTGCCATAAAGAAGGATAAACTCAAGATATTTCTAGGTAAATGGATGCACCTTGAGAGCATACTCTTAACTGAAATAAATCAGACACACATGTGTAAATACCCCATTGTTTCTTTGGTGTGAGAAACCAAAAGTGTAAATATGATCCAAATATATAACAGGTATTGTGAAATATAAAGAAAATGTTCAAGTGGGGAGGTGAATAAAGGAGCAGGAAGCGGGGAAGGAAAGAAGGGAAAAGTAAAAAAACTGAGAAAAGGAAAAATGGAAAGAAAGCTTTTGTAAATGGGAAGGGAGGAGGGGTAAAGAAGGGAAGGGAAAGGGGAAAAAACCAAGTTATATCATGTACCGGTACAAATTCTCTATGATGAATGTGATCACTGTGCGTATCTAAATGGACCAATACAACCTGATTCAGTGTATCTGAAAACACTGAAGTGCTCTGGGGAGACAGAACATAGAAGTGAGAGAGGCAGTGCGGCAAAAGACATGGGATAACAGTGGATAAACTTCACAGAGAAGGTGAGGCCTGACCACAGACTTGAGACAGATAGGGAGAAAACTATGAAGACATACTAGATTTAAAAAACAAAAAAACCTTTCCAAACAGAAGGAATGGCCATCACAAAAGGCCCAAAGGCAGGAGCATGACGCTCAGCATGTTAAAGAAGTGGCAGGAGGCCGCAGTGGTGCAAGACCAGGGAAGAACGCAAGATGAGAGAGAGAAGGCCACAGAACAATAAAGGTGGGGCAAAGCCCAAAGGGTCCTATAACCTATTGCTGGCAATTTGGCTGCTAATAAAATGCAAGCCCTGAAAGTTTAGATCAAAGGAAAGATATACATACTCTTAACAGGTTTTTGTCATTTTTTTTTTGGCTTTACTGAACTATAATTGACAAACAAATTGTATACATTCAAATGTACACTGGGATATTTTATGTATATACATATATATGTATATAGTGAAATGATCATCACCATCAAGTTAATACATAAATATAGAAAATCATAATCAGAGGGACAGATTAAGGACACTTCAGATCTACTCTCCTGGCAAATTTCAAGTATATAATACAGTATCATTAACTGGAGTTACAACGCTACATATTAGATCCCTAGAACTTATTTTTTTTAGAACTGAAAGTGAGTAACAGGTTTTTAAGTGATCACTCTGCTGACGATCAAGAAAGCAGACTACAGGGCCAGGGATTTAGCTCAGTGGCACAGTGCCTGCCTGGCAAGTATCAGGTCCTGAGTTCAATTCTCGATACCAGAAAAAAGAAAAAAGCAGCCTACAAGGCGGGAGTATAGCTTCATGGTAGAGCACTTGCCTAACAAGAATAAGGCCCTGGGTTTGATCACCAACATCATTAAATGTAAACTGAAACAAGAAAGCAGACTTAAAAGCAAAAATGGAAGGAGAGAGACCAGTTAGTATTGAAGAAGAATTGCTGGAGGCATTAGGAAATGAGGTATAAACTAGCACTCTGATCACGAAGGAGGAGATCAATTACATAATCCTCTAAGTGAATAAAATCCTGAATACTCTGGACTAACTGTAACTTTGCCTGCCCACTACCTAAAGATAAGCTGATGGGATACACTTACTTCAGAAAGTTTCTTACTGTAAAAGACCACAAAAATCCCAGGAGAAGGGCTGGGGATTTAGCTCAGCGGCAAAAGCGCCTGCCTGGCAAGCGCAAGGTCGTGAGTTCGGTTCCCGGTACCGGAGAAAAACCAAAAAAAAAAAAAAAATCCCAGGAGAGAGAACAGAACACCTGCTAACTACTGTCTACTCTGGAATGCAATTAACATAAGAACACAATTTTCATTCACTGCATTTTAAACAGCAAGTCTAGAAAAAGGAAAGTTGTACCTGTTCTTCTAACTATGGATTACTTTTTCTGAAATAGTGGGTAGCTGCAGAGACAGTATACATTGAATTCACAGGTTATGTAGAGGCAATAAAAGGAGTAAAGAATCATTACCTACTCAACATAACCACAAAGCAGAGGACTTCTGGAAAAACTATTCCCAAAATAGCTGAATTAATTTTCTTACAAATTCTCTCATCACAAAATAAAAATGTTTCATTGAAAGTAGACTTCCTCCCAAGTACATATATATCATGAGATATATGCATATTTTATGTATGTTAGACACATATCCTTGACTTGATATAGGAAAGTTTTTAAATTAATCAGTTTCTTCTATAAAATATTAATTAATAAAATGTATTAGTTCTATCCTCCTGATTAAGCAACAAGAACTCAACCTGATATAGTATAGGCAGAAAGAGTCCATTATAGTGATATAAGGCTACTCATGGAAGCAAAAGTGGTAGAATACTTGCCTAGCATATTTGCAACTCCTTAGGTTCAAATCCCAGCACCATGAAAAGAAAAGGAGGAAGGGGAGGAGAATGAAATTAGTGCCAAAGCAGGTATATGAATCAGCAGGATGACACACTATGAACAATGCATGAGAAGAGAATGTAATAGAGACTATTCACAAAAATCTAGACAGATTAACCATCAGTAAGATGACACAGGCAGGAGTGCAAAACAAACCCCATGGCTAAGCCTGGAATGTCAAGAGGCAGGAGTGCTGTCCCCACAGTCTAATAAGAGCTAGATCTATGAAAGAAGACCCGCCAGACAGAATCTGTAGCTACCAAAAAATGGAGCCACTTCCAGGATGTGCTGCCACACACAGACCAGAGGAAATAAACACCCTATTTCTTCTCCCGCCATCTTAACTTCCTGCACCCACTGTCCAAACTCAACCAGACGCTAGGAATAAGGGAGCCTAGATCCATAAACCCCAGCCCCACAAGGTCAAGGTAAACCAGACACCAGAAGAGACCAATTCTAGAGGAGTAAGAGTGAGTAACCAGCACAAAAGTAGAAAAGACTCTTCTATAACAGTCCAAAATCATAACCTGGTGCACAGCCTTTGCACATGAACACATTCTCTGTAATATTTAGGGTACCCATGTACATAAGAAACCAGGAAGTTAAAAGGGATAGTTACCAAAAGATAATAAAAAGAAAGGCTTTAGTAAAAGGCAATTATTTTTCTACAAGCTTTGTACTAATTTATGAATGGCTTTGCTATTGATTGTTTTTAAAATTCTAACACCATCTATATAATCAATAGTAAAAGAGCATCAAAGAAAAAATAAAGCTCTCCTCCAAAGTTTTATACCATATAATCAAAAGCTAGGCATGATGGCACATACCTAGAATCCCAGCTACTCAGGCAGGTGAGACAGGAAGATTACAAGTTCAAGCCCAGCCTAGGCTGCAAAGCAAGACTCCATCACCAAAAAAATAAATAAAAAGTAACTGCAAACTGTATAGTTTTTAACCATAGTAAACAGACTAATACTAAAACCAAAATATTTTATCCATGCACTCTTAACTAGATACTGCATATTTAGATGGTAGCAAGAGACAAAGGTGAAAATCAGCTCAGAAAGCAACAGTATGGATGGAATACGCACTCTTACAGCCTGCGTCCTACATAACCTTTTGAATGCATGACCTTTAAGTTGCTGAAGGTTGCCTCAGAATTTGGCTCAGTTTGATGGAAACATCTGTTCCCCTTGCAGGTATACTGTAAGGACTTTTTCTCAGTTGGATTCAGAACACAGCAAGCAAGCCCTTGTCTTTCCAATCACACAGACCCCAACACTTGTAAATCAAGTTCTGGGAGGACAACAGCAGGTCCACACTCCGTCACCCTTTCGCAGCCAGCGAGGCCAACTGACTGCTGTGAGATCTGCTCTTATCATGTCATCAAATCAGAACACGTTGAGATGAGGGACTGTGAGAGGCATCTGCAGAATTCCCAAAATGTAGTGACTTTGGAACATTGACAGATGCATCTGTCATTTTATACCTTCAACTAACCTGATGTCCACTGGCCCGACACAGTAAAGCTGTCCAAGATCGATTCTAATTCTTTCACATTATTTTCACATGTCTCTACTAGGAAGGCCTGGTGCTTCTTAGCCTTTAAGAAAAGAAGTGCACATAATAAGGTCACACATTATAAAGGCTTCAGACTTTAATGTAAACCTATAGATCATAATCAAACATAAGATATTAATTACTCCATTCAAATCTACTGTTAATGAATCCTCTGCCTTAATCACACCTTTTACTTGGCTTAATGTAACACTGGGATGTAATTTACTAAGGGTGGAGTGCCTCATACTACTCTAAGTATTCTGCACATGGTAATCTCTTTATGCTCACAATAAGGCTATGATAAAAAGATAAGCATTTTTCAGATAAGAAAACAGATAAATTCAGGAATACTTTAAAAACTCATGCTTGCAGTAATGTGGCAAATTGCCAAATGGCAGTCCAAAGTGAATATAGTTAGGACCAATTAGAAGCAAGGGCAGAAGTCAAGTGAAGGTAGTTTAGCCATGGGCATTAGCAGAGAAAAGGGGGAAAGACTCTCAGAAGATGGAAGGGCCACCTTGATAACACTGCACTGACTTAGACCACTACACTAACTGGGTTTCATTGGATTGGATGGTGACAGGGAAGTATTCAAATGAAGGGAACAGTCAAGAGTAATCCCATGGCTTCAAACTGAAGGAAGTTGATAGATTTCAGCAGCTCAATAAGAATAGAGGCAGAGAAAGTCTTACTTTGTTATTTTTTTCACTTGCTTGCTTAGTTTTAGTAGGAAGTATGAATCATTAATTCTATTTCAATCATATCCCACTGAAGATGCACAAGATATTCCTAGCACGGGTACAACATCTAGAAAATATCAGATCCTAAGTAAATACTAAAAAGAGAAAATAACAAAATAGAAAAATATGGCAGTAGCTGAACATACCGCTGCAAACCCAGAAAAAATGTCAGGTGTAAGAATGGTCTAGAGATACTGCCTAAACCTCCTGAAGAGTGTTTGAAGGGAACAGAAAAGGAGTCTACTACAAAGTCTTAAGAACTACAGCATTTCTTTTAAAAAAGAAATTATTTATGAAAACCAAAAAAAGGAGGCAAAAAAGACAAAACGGTACGATGTAATGAAAAACAGGCATGAGAACATTTGAAGCAGGAAGTTTTCAATTCTAGCCAAAGTCACAGAAAAGCAGGAAAAACGATTACTCAAAAGTGTTCGCTGGGCGTGGAAGCCACTGGTAACTCTGGTGAGATCTGCTTCACTGTCATACAGTTTTAACACAAACCAGAACGGGATGAGAAAGTAAGCACTTTCTCCCCGCGAAACAAGTGAAAGATGGGCAAATGGAAACCTGAAGTTCAGACAAGCTCTGCTCGGCAAGAAGGGAGGAAGGAATAAAGGGGCAGTAGTTGGAAAACAGAGAGAGGTCAGAAAAAGTTGTGTTTTTTAATATGTGAGATACTTAAACTTGTCTAAAAGCTGAGGAGATAGATCAGCTTATAGATACAAAAGAAATAGGAGAAAGATACTACAAAATTGCATCTTTTAAATACAGCAGTGCCCCTGATTTGCACAGAAATGTTCCAAGATCCTCAGTGGATACCTGAAAGCACAGATAGTACTCAATTCCTTTGGTCACTCTACTTCTGAGATCCTTTATTCCTGCGTCTACTTCAAAGAGACTAAGCTCCTTAGGAGGAGGAAAAAAATGTTATCCTCACCTGTGTATAACTAGTACCCAGACAATACCTGGCATCTAAAATTATGAGTTAGAATACAAGTCATCAGCTGAAGACTGTTAAACTAATTAGGATTCTTCAACACACAGACTTTAAATAGGAGAAGGACGCTTTTGGATTGGGTGTTTTATTCTGTTTTTCAGTATTGAGGAATAACTGAGCTGCATTCCAGCCCTTTTTTTTTCTTTTTGATTTTGAGACAGGGTCTCATTAAACTGCCTCAGACTTGCCATCCTCCTCTCTCAGCCTCCTGAGTACATGCAATCACAGGCTTGTGCCACCAACAGGCTGACGGAAACTCTTGGGCATGTATGATACGGAAAGATTTCTAAGTTATATTGTCATTACAGCACTCTTACATCGCTGGGATAAATTCTACTTGATTATATTTTTATATCTTACTAAAAATTCACTTTGCTAGTATGTCAAGAAGTTTAGCACCTGCATTCAAAAGGGATACACTGGCCTGCAGCTTGGGGTTTTTGTTTTTGTTTTGCAGTGTCTCAGGTCTGGGAGGCAGCTATGCTCAGCATTATACCGCCAATGCAGCCCCGTCTGGTTTTGGAGTCAGGGTGATACTAACACACTTGCAGAATGAGCTGTCAGGTGTCACCTTCTCTTCTTTTTTGAAGGAATTTGCGAACAATTTCTGTCAACTCTTCCTAAACAGTGAGTATCATGAAGCAGCCCAGTCCTATGTTTTTCCTTGTGGGAAGTTTTGTGATGATTATTTCAATGACTTTACTTGATTTTCTATGTAACGAATTTTGGTAATTTATCTTTTTAGAAACCTGTCATTTCACCTAAATACTCTAACCTGTTGGCATACAATTATCCACAGCACTCTCATGTAATTCTGTACCGTCAGTAGTCATACTCCATCTTCCGTTCGTGATTTCAGTAATTTGAATTGTCCCTTTTTCTAGATTATCTTTTCGAAGAACCCAGGTTTGGACTCATTGATTTCCTAGTTTCATTAGAGAATAAAGCTTCTCCCTCTTTCTTTAACTCTTTATTTCTTGTGTCATTGTTCTCTGGTGCATTGGCTTGTGGGTGGCAGGCATTTTGTTAAGTTGCCAAGGCTGTTAAGTTGCGGTCCTCCTGCTTCACCCTGTCAGAGTGCTGGGATTACAGACCTGTGCCAACACGCTCAGCTTCCTGTTTATGGTTTGTTTTTAATTGATTTGTTTGGGGGCTAGATTTTTCAAGTTTTTGAAGATGAAATGTTAGGTTATTAAAGGCTTTTCTTTTCTTAAATATAGGTGATTGACTACAGCTCTCAGTTTCCCTCCTAAGCACTGTTATCAGCTGCATCTCAGAAAGTTTGGCAGGTTCTGTTCTCATTTTCATTCATCTCAGTGTGTTCTAATTCCTTTGTGATTTCTTTTGAACCAATTGGTTATTTTGGAGTATATTCACATTTAACTCACATTTTTAAATTTTCTTCATTGATTTCTAATTTAATTCCGCTGGTCAGAGAAGATACTTTGTATGATTTCACTCCTTTTAAATTTATTGAAGCTTGTTTTACAGCCTAGAGTAATGGGTATGCATAAGAAATGCTTCATGTGCTCTTGAGAAAATGTATATTCTGCTACTGGTGAGTGTGGTGTTCTATAGCTATCCAGAAAGTCCTGTTTGTTTACAGCATTATTAAATCTTCTATTTATTTGCTGATATTCTTCCTAGTTGTTTTCCCGACTATTGAAAGTGGGGTACTGAAGCCCCCAAGTACTATTATTGTCTACTTTTCCAGTGATTTGTATCAGATTTTGCTTCACATACTTTGGACCTCTGTTGTAAAGTGTATATATGTTTGTAATTGTTAGCTCTCCCTAGTGAGTGACTAAGATATCCCTCTTTAACTCTAATAACACTTTATTTCCAAAGCCTATTTTGTCTGATATCATTTAACCCAGTTATTTTTATTTGTTGTATGCATATATATTTGTTCCATTTCCTGTTATTCTGATATATATATGCTATCTTTAAGACTTATCAAAATCTTTGCATTGATAAAAAGTATTAGCAAATGACAAACAGATTCAGAGGAATAATATCACTAACGGTCACATGATTATGAGATAGGGCAGGGACTAAAATCCAATTCAAACTATGTCCAAAATATATGTTCTTTCTAATATGTCATGCTGAGACTAAGTCCCCCTCAAATGAAGGTATGAACATTTATAGAAGCATAAGTGTAGAAACCAAACAAATTGCATACATGGAGTAAGCTTAAAATTTCAATTCAATTCCTATGTAAGCAATAATTCTCTTTCAAGGGCTCAACTCTGACTAAAATATGAGCTAAAATTTCAATGCTATTACAATTTAAATCAAATTAGCAAGAAAATATAAAATATTTAAAAGAGAAAAAAAAGATTTGATCACTGGTCAGACTTTTAAAGAGGCTAGCTCTACCTGAAAATCACTGCTTTTTAACTAATAATATTATAATTTTCTCAGCATTCTGCAGAGATATCCAGCTTGTGGTCCAGTACACAGAACAGTAATTTTGCTTGTACTTAATAGTTATGTATTTTGTTTGGATTTAATAATTATGTCCACAGTTGACTTTTTTTTCCAGTGTGGGAACTAATCCAGGATCTTCACACTGAGCTACGTTCCAGCCCTTTTTACAAACATATTTTCATTTTGAGACAGAGTCTCACTAAGTCCCTAAATGCTGAAGGTAGGCCCAAACTTGCCATCCGCCTCCTACATTAGCATCCCAGAGCACTGGGACTACAGGTACATGACACCACGCTCTGCTGTTGTTTGGTTGGGTTGGTTGGTTGGTTGGTTGGCTGGTTGGTTGGTTTTTTGAGACTCCATAATTCAGGTTGGCCTTGAATAAACTATGTAGCCCAGGCTGGCCTCAAACTTACAGGTACCTTCCTGCGTTAGCCTCCCAAGTGCTGACTTATAGGTGTGTGCCACCACATCCGGCTTTATATTTGACAAATTTTCTAAGTTGTTCTGAATTTACAAATGAAGGTTTCACTTTTCATTCATATAGTAAAAGTGTTTAAACTGTTTTTAGTGCTAGACTGTGCTTATATTTAAATTTGTTCCAAAGCTATGAGTCCTCTTAATAGCCATTTAACATGTAAAGAATTCTACAATGAAAATAGAATTTATCAGTTAAATAAATAAAACACTGAACTGAAAACAAAGTGCTATTCAAAGATAAAAATGTGTTTCTAACATTTTATCATATAATCTGAAGAATAATCAGTTTAGGTTAAAGGTTAAATTATTAATTCAAGAAATTTTCTAATTCTAAACATTTCTAATTTCTAATTCTAGAAATTTAAAAAACAGAATTGTAGGCTAAAAGGACTT